AACCAACTGAATTGGCATCCTTTCTTTTTCTTGTAACGCTTGGTGTTTGCGTAGGCAGTGATCTTAGGTCCTGTGTCTCGTTCCAGAAATTTGTATAGGATGCACGAGCGTCCTCGACAAGAGCACCAGAGACCTCTATAATGGCAATCGCTGTCGCTGTGACATCCTTCTGCAGCGAGAGAACACGTATATTCTGGATTCATTTGATTGGAATTTTTGGTGTAGTCGAATTTCTTAATTTCCACCCCTCCACTTTTTTTGTAGCGACAGCCATAATTCAAGAAGCCGAGGTAGAAGTACTCGAGGTTTGCAGCTCTGATGTTGTTAGGAGATCCTTCCTTGAAACGGGCTTGTAAAATGTTCCAGACCGCTCTGAAGGTGCGCTCGACAGGCGAGGGTGAATCGTCGGCTTCATTCATAAGTTGCTCAATCAGTTCTGGTGTCCTCTTGTTGACCAGCTTGCTTTTTGTTTCCCTACGTCCTCCTATCATGTTCAGTTTGTCGCTCGTGCTCACCTTACTTGCTCTCGATAATTCATTTTGACTGACATTTGAACATGCAGAGATATTAAGCTTTCCAACGGGTGTGGGACCTGCCAACGAAGTACAGGCTTTCACCTGAAGATCTCTTTCACTGTAAGATTTCGAGCTCTCTGCAAATGTCATTTGTCTAATGCTTGATCCACGCGTTTCGGACATTAAAACATGGGAGCCGTATGATTTCAGGATATTACGATATCGTTTCCAGGAATTCTTCAGCCAGGGTTTCTTAATTTTTAACGGTAATCGTTCGAATTTTTTAACAAATCGTTTCTGTAAGGTTGAGACCTGATCATCTTCTAAGCAATTTTTGTCCACATGGATCTTCTCTGTCAACGCCTGTACGATTAAGGATGTTCCACTCACGTTGGATGTCTTTGAACTTTTGCTCATTGTTGCAATATCCAGAGTAGCGCCCAGAGAATATCTGGACTCCAATGAAGCGCCCAAGCTTGATTGGGTGCCCAGTGATTTGTAGAAGGCCTTGTTGTTTGCATAATATTGGAAGTGACTACTTGAGGATTTTAAGGTTTTCTTTTTGAAGCATTTTGAAGGGAGAGGCTCAAAAATGCTTGTTTCGCGTTCTTCAATTGACTCCGCCAGTAAGTTGGTCCTTCGAAGATCTATCACTGTCCCCAACTCCTCCGTTTCGCTTGCAGTGGCTTTACATGTTCCGCTGAACGTGACTGTCAGGCAAATGAACAACAGAAAAGGAACAAACATTGCTCAACTTTTCTGTCTACTTTCAGACAGATGTGGTGATTTAATGTAACCTACGGAAAAAAGGTAGCATGATAAAAACAGTAAATTTGGAGTCTCTATTTTGTTAGTATAGAGCCCGGCCCCGGGGGAGCTCATAACGGACAGGGGTGATCGTCGTAAATTTTAAAACTCCCCTAAAGGGTACCGTATTTTCTGGGCGTAGCTCCAATTCATTTTCACCATAAGTGATTCAGTTCAAATTATTTGTTGACAAGTAGTTCCTGTCATATTTTTCAGGCTTTTAAAATACCCTAAAAGGTAAAGGGGTAGCTCTAATGGTCATTTTCGATTTAAACACTTTGAATTAGGACGCCATTTTGACGAAAGACGGTCTTTCTTCGATTAAGCAGGTTTTACTCAACATGCGTTATAGCGCAATATTGTTATCACGCTTAGGTTAAACTGTGGCACTCCCGTAGAGCATAGTTAATAAAGGGAAATGGTTATGAAGCCCGGAAAACTTCAAAGGGGCAAACAAAGAGGCCAAGATTTATGTTGGAAGGTCCATGACCGTGCACATCTTTTTTTTTTGCGCTCATACACTATGTATGAATTACGTAATCGCAACGTTTCTATTGGTTAGTTGCTTGAACACACGTAACCACCTATTGTATTTTGTCAGGTTTTGTGCACGGTCAACCCCCAAAATAGCGAACAAAAACATATAACAAAGAACTTTGCCGGGCTTAATAACCATTTCCCTTTATTAACTATGCGTAGAGTGAGATAAAGAAGGCACCGGCAATATTTGTTCTGAGCCCCTCAGTTATTTGACAACATTAATCTAAAAAATGAATCTGCTTTCCTAAAAGCTCCGGACTCGCGGTGGCAACGCCCGCAATGTTACGTCTCATGTGTGAATTGCTTGGTGCCGATCCGCAATTGTAATTGTTGGGCACAATGTTGCATACGTAGAATCGCTTTCTACCACTGCAACATTGCTCACGCAACAATCGATTGATTTAAAAGTGTGTCCATTATCTGCAACATTGCATGCAATGACACAGTATCAGCCATTTCCTGCTTTCTGGGTAATCCAATATATCTCTAACACAATGGGTTTTTTGGAAATTTCTCGTTACGTACTTGTAAACATAACGTCAAGCCCATTTTCATGGCGAAATAAGGGCTCTTGCGCTTATGCTCGCGCTTGTGCGTGCATCGCTAGTGAAAACCAGGCTTATTTACACGCAATGGCATTTCCTGATTTCTGGTTATCCAATGTCAAACACAAAAGGTTTTTTTTTTTAACTTTTCTCCTATGTGAGTTATTCTTCTTGGCTAGTTAATCCTGTTACCGTCGCCATTATCGTTACCTACTTGTAAACATAACAATTTGCTTGTCGCGCGCAATGTTGCATCGCGTTGTCACATCTACTGAAACTGTTGCGCGAAATTCTATGGAAAACATTACGGCGTGTATTTAGTTCGATTCCACTTGAAAATTAAAAAAAGTGAATTACAATAGGTCGTGGTGCCTTACCGAACTCATAAGAGGCTCGTTGATAGTTGAAGAAAGAACCGGACGATTTTTAACGAAGAAAATTCCTAAAACTGGGTAATTGATATTCAATGTAATCAGGAATTTATGCCAGAACTGATTTCCCGAAGTGCGATTATTTTTCTGTGGAAAATAAGATCACGCAATAATATTGCGGGTTTTTTAAAGGTTGATTTTTATACTTTTTTCTAAGAAGTCTAACCAAGCTTATTTCTTAGTATTTTCAAAAAGGGTGCAATAAGTTTTCAGTTTTTATTTTCCCTTTTTTCCCTTTCGTCTTGCTTGGACCGGCCGTTTGGCCATTTTCGCTCGAGCCATTTTACACTGGTACATTGTGTAAATAAGAAAAACATCTTATGTCCCTATAGGTTTTGATAGTTTACAACTTTCACGCGCGCGCGTGCTTACGTGCTATGTTTTACACAGATAACTGATAGACAAAGATTAGAGAGACAGTTCTATTATTCCCTATTTGGGTTAATACATTTTTTACTGAGCGCAGGCTATGAGTTTGCAATCGTATTCATCATTAGTGGCATGGATTTGAACACTATTCATAGAATAAGCGGGGTTTTGTATCAGTGTGGTTATCAACTAATTCAATGTTATGTTGTACCCCTAAGTGATATTCAGAGAATTAAAAAAAATCACTGTATAATAAAATTTAGAAAAGAGACTAAACAGTAGATGCCAAGTTAACCCAAAAGAGGAAATCGAACCTATCATAGGTAAAGTTTTTTTCTACTAACCTTAGGCTGGTCGACACTTCTGATGTCTCCTGATCTGTGTTGCGCTCTGATATGAAAGATAGGTGTTGCTTTCACAGAATACGGTCCGTTAATTTAGAATTCTTAGCTCATTCATTTCTAGCACGTGGATAGGCTCTTTGAAACAAGGTTCTTGAGATTAAACAGTTCAATGGAGGAAGACTGAAATGGCATTAGTACCCTTCAGTTGCATCCTATTCATTACACGCTTTAAAAGCATTTTACGTTCAGAAAATATTCGCTTAATTGTTATCTTAGAGGATAACTGGTAAAAAGACTGTTAAGAAGTCAGTGCAATTAAGCAGTTCAATGGAGGAAAACTCCATTAGCCCATTCCATAGATTTCACAGTCGACTTATAATTGACAGTCTTTTTTAAAAGAAGACCAATTGAAAGATATCCGTTTGAAAATAAAATAAAATGAATTTAAATTATAGATTTTCAAACAACTCCTGTAACTTCAGTTCAGGTTTATTGACACTATAATAAAGTTCATTCATTCATAATAAAAAAGAAACGCTATATTAAGCGAACACCCTCGGGGATTGCTCTAGTGTCCGCTTAATACAGGGTGTCCGCTTAATAGAGGTATTATTTACATTAAATAAGGGAACTGATAAATTTTGGGTCTTTTCCTACTGTCCGCTTATACAGGTTTGACTGTAATACATTGTTGCTAGTATCCGTGCAAAAGCGCAATAAGGAACAACATACAAAAAAGGAATTTGAATTTGTCTAATAAAACCGCTTAATATCAAGAAATTTCCTTAGAAAATACTTTTCCGCTCCTTGCACAAAGTAACCCACATGCTAAAGATCACTGAGGTAAGAATTAAACATTTCGGTTTCCGTAGACTTTCGCGGGTAATTTTTTATCCCAATAATATATTTTTTCTAACTTAAACCAAAAATTTCAAAAACTAAAATTAAACGTATTTTCCATGAAAACTTTATCTCACGTGAGCTAGCAGTGGCTAGCAGTTTAATTATCTGGGATCTTGTAGGTCAATCCTATTGCATTGGTTATGCTTTCTTGCCATCGATCTTGTGAGCCACATCGAAAGAATAAAACGGATAAACGGATACTGAAAGCCCTCAGTTACTGTGCGAATCAGCAAAGCGTGAACACTTTGATTTAACGTTTGGATTTTCCTTTGCCAAAAATTGTTCTATTTTTCCTGTATTTATTTCATTTCTATTTTCACAAATCGTTTCTGCAAAATTCAGTTTCCTGACTATTCTTTCTGCGGTTTGATCATGTCAAAGTTAAATAAAAGAAAAACACGTCCAAAGCAGAAGCAAACCATTGAACATTGGCTTCGCTTCGGAGGTAACAGGTGAAAATTCAACCATTCAACCTGAAAAATACAAGAATTTGAGAAAGATGTTTATCAGTCAGTAACACAAGCTACTCAACAAAATATTTCCGAGTTCTCCCAACAAACGTAGAACCTATGACCTTCCGCGCACCGGTCGGACGCTCTGATCTACCACTGAGCTACAGGAGACTCGTGGGAGCTTAGGCCATATAGCTACTAGGTTCAAGTGTGACAAACATCCCGCATACTGCCAGGACTAGATTTGTCGATGAATGAGAATTTGTGGAAAGAAATGATGGTATATTTTAAGCTTGGTAGAAATATGAGAAAGATATTATTCTGTCAGTGACACAAGCTAGTCGGAAAAAAATTCCGAGTTCTTCCAACAAGAGTCGAACCTATGTGACTTTCCGCACACCGTTCGGACGCTCTACCACTGAGCTACAGAAGACTCGTGGGAAACTTAGGCCTTGTAGCCTGAAATTTGAAGAACTAAAAATCACACCAGGCACATATTTTCGGCTATCAAGGAATATTGTCCTATCGTTGGGACCTCACGCTAGTGAGGAATAATTGGAATATGATCGGAAAACCCGACACAGTTTGAAAGATTGACGATTTGTGGTTATAGTAGTGCCACACTACTCTACATTTCTACACGAGAAGTGTGGAACTATAACAAATTGTAGAAATCCGCTATTTAATGGCCAAGGCTGGACATTTTTAAGTGCAGTAATTTTGTCTGTGCGACCGAATCCCAATACCGTGTGGCACTAAATGGTTTCGGGAGTTTAATTTTGCGGATTGGCGAATTTTTGTGTTTGCGAGATCTAACTTTTGTGATTTCGGGCGAAACTTATTTTTGCGATTCTCAATAAGAAAATGATTTCACATCTGTACGATGGCAGATCGTTTTAAATTCCAATGCAATTTTGCTTTAAGGTGATAATGATAATTTCATGAACGGAGTATTTTGGCTGAAATATTTTTGGTAGGGAATGATTTTTTGCGGGAACTATTTTTTTCGGATCGTGAAAATACCCGCAAAAATCTAGTGCCACACGGCATTCGTTTTAAGTGACCACCAGTCATTTTGGCCGGTTCCAAGGTCGTTTCAGTAAAACAGAAATAAAAGGCGACAAATTTATCGAACTATATTAATTTTCACTAAATGAGCTATCTATGGATATGATGCACGTGGAAAAACGCTACTTTGGCCGTGTACGCGCTAGAGACGAAAAAATTAGTCGAGGTACTCGTCTTAGACGGATACTTTCTAGGACAAGTGGCTGTTTTCACACTAGATAAGTAAGCTAGAAATATGAGAAGTCTCGAGTTATCTACTCGAATAACTTACTCGTCTGGTTTGAAAACGGGAAAGAGAACTAGAGAACTAATTCGTTTAAATTTCAAATACAAAGGGATAAGTAGACGGATAAAATCCCTCTAACGTTGTAATCATCCCGTTTTCATAAGGGGAAGTCAATTTTGCGTCTTCAACGAAGAACTCATCTCGAACGAGTTATCCATCCCTTGTGTGAAAACGGCTTTTCATCTATCTATGAACACGCTATACAAGCAGTGGAAATCAGAGGCGTGTCGTCAAGATCCAAATGGTTGATAACTCTTATTTCTTTATGTGTATGATTTCACACTAAAGCCTGGTTTCCATATAATGGCAACGAGCGCAGCGATCGTTGTGATTGACGATCGCAAGAGTGGTTTCCATATAAAAACTGCACGATCGCAACGATCGCAAGGATAGCAACGATCGCAACGTTTTATGGTTTCCATGTGATCGCAAGGATCGCAGAACACTTTTTTTCTGCGATCGCTGCGATCGTTGCGATCATATCGTTGCGATTATATGGAAACCAGGCTATTTTATCCATGTCTATTGACAATAATTGAGAATTTTGTTAAAACTAGCGCTGTTTGAAAGTATAAGTTTACTCACCGGCGTTTAAGTAGTAATAGAGTTGTGTGAGAATTTTCCTGTCGAGTGAATTAAAACAACATACTAATTAAAGAGTTGTAAAGTTTCAAAGATAAGCAAACTCTTTCAAACCCAAAACATGTTTTTCTTTAAACAATGTGCCACATGCTAACTCGGCGAGAAAATAAAAGAAGATGAACTGGCACCTAATTAGTTTAGTTGGAGTATTACGAAATTCTTTTTTTTTAAATTCAATTTAATGTTTTACACGAACTAGTACCGAACTAAAGCAAAACTGACTTTGATCGTACGAAAAAGTACCTAGGCGCTGAAAAACGTAAAGAAAAAATTCGAGTAAGGTTTATCTTGCAGGAAAATTATCATATATTTTATTTATATATTCAGGTGACTTTGCTGATCTTCAGAAATCAAATGAAACCCTGCGATAACGGCACAAAACGATAGAAATATCAAATAAATTCTAGAAAACTACAGAGCAGAGGAGTGTGTATAACATTTGTACGAGAAAAATATAACTTGATTTCTATCGCGTCAACAAAAATCAACTTTAAATGTATCTGAAACCGTGGTCTGCAATGTTCAGAAATTGTCTTTGATTGTTTCAAACTGTTGGTTAATGGTATGATTAAATTATTTAAAGACTGTTAAGTCAACTGTGATATGGAATGGGCTAATGGACACTTTGAAATCATCACTTACTTTCCTTTTAACGTCGCCTAAAATTCCAACAGGTTGGTTGACCAAAACCAGGAAAACCATTAGCTTAATTGCATTAACTTCTTTTAAGACTGTTAAAACAGTCTTTTAATTATTCAATTTTACAGTTATCTACTAAGATAACACTTAAATGCATTTTTTTGTGAACAGAAAAATGCTTTTAAAACGTGTAATGACGATGATGCAACAGGGTCCTAATTTGGATCCAGTCTTCCTCCATTGAACTGTTAATCCCAAGAACCTTGTTTCAAAGAGCCTATCCACGTTCTAGACTACGAGCAGTCCCTCATTTTTCTCAGGGACAGTCGAGTGGGAGAGCATATTTAATTTTCGATGCGATTCCTGTTATAAACTCAATACGCTGATAAACTTCAGGAAATATTTCAGTTCGTACAGCCAGGGAAATGCATCTGTATTGAACAGAATTTGAAGCTTGAAAGGCACGGCTAATGCATTCTCTGCACTTTGTTTATAGGTAGAAAACAAGCACTCGTGACTGTGGTTTTGGCGCATAAATGTAATTTAAGTTACTCGCTTTTTCAATACATTTTCCTGCTTTTAGTCATAGAGATTGTCCTTTTCCCTAAAATGTCCTGATTTGGGGCAAATCTCGTCAGTGACTTGTAGGAAATCAGGTCAATAATTAGAGCTTCTGGTGATTATATTCCGCATGCGTCTTTTGCACAAGTACCACAAGGGAAATTAAACCGCGACACAAAATAAAAAAATATATACCTTGCGCTGTTGCGGAGGTATTTGAAGCAATGTTAGAAGCAAAATCTCGTAATTTAATTTTCCATACGTTTCTTTAAAATTTCAAAAACTTGAAACATCTTAGGAGAAAGTGATCGAGTGTGCCATGTGCCATGTGCCATGACAAAAGCTCCACATAAACGTGTTGCGTTTGTGTAACACAACACAAAAAAGAGATACTCACGGGATTTTACCATCCTGAGTGTAATTCTCTTGAGCTGCTTTAAATTAAATTGATTACTTTTGAACTTTCTTGTATACGGATCACGTCCGAGGGTAAGGTTGACCTCCGCAGGATTAACCTGAGTATCAGGCGAATTTTTCCGCGCTCTCTTTTACTCTTCGTCTTTACGTGGTAGCGTGACATCCGTAAAGAGAATGTAAGGAGCGCGAAAAATTGGCCTGATCGCAGGTTACCGCAGGATCGTTCTCGCGTGACAACTGAATGGAAACCCTCGAAGGCGATTCTTTGAAAATGTCATGATAATATTTCTGGAGAAAAAGCATGTCATTTTAACATCTTTTTGGATCAGATTGCCCGTTTGAAACTACGCCTTGTCTTTTGGGCGTGACCGAGCGTGACAGAAAATGTGTTGATGCGGTCAGCGGTAATACACACGAGAACGAGCAAAGATGGCGGCTGGTTTCTCTAATGTATTTGCTCGATTTTCGTTCTTTCTTTTGACGCTGCTGATGTTCAATTGGTGCAGAAGAAATGTTTATATGAATACCTACACTCGTTTCACGGATCTTGACAGAAACACTTGCTATTTCGCTTAACACTTCAGTCACAGAAGCAAGAAGAATTTGGACTCTACCGATCCACCATTTGCCGTAACCATTGTGGAAGTGAAGCTGGGAGACACCGTGAAAGTAAAAAAGGTTTCAGGTTAGATTTTAAATTTCTACCCATTTTAATGATGAGTAGTTCATTTGTATTCGTAGATGAGACAAAAAAGCCGAAATTTCTGAACTTTAAATTAATGGCCGTGACATTAGAGTTAGCCAAAAACGTCTGATGGTGGTTTTGTGCAAGTTGCTTACCGTATCTCTTGGCATGCTTGGCAGAGTGCTACTAAATAATATTTCATAGTTTTAACCGAGGTTCTCAGAATAAGTCAGAATTTCGAGAAATGTTTGATTTTGCTGTGTCACTTGGCCCGCTTCTTGCAGATGACGTTTCTCGAGACGTTGATGTCTGTGATTATTAGTTCAGACGTTGTACTTCACATGAGCCGAATCGAATTCGATGAATTATAAAGTTCATGTGAAGTCCGGCGTCTGAATCAGTTCGGAACGGCTGATTGAATTCGGATCGGCTCAACCGTTCTTCCCGCCTGGCTCAACCGGGAATAACGGCTGTGGACCGGCTGTAATTCAGACGCCGAACATGAGTCGAATCAATGCATAAATTGTTATAATATATGTTTTCAATATAAAAGTATTCGTGATTGGTTGAAAAGCTAGCGCTATCACTGTTGACGTGACCAATCAACAAGAGTGACGTCATATAAACTTGAAAATTTCGCCGAGGGGGTTCACGTTCTCCACAAAACGCAGAATTTGGTCACAGTTTCACGTTGTTGCTTTGCAGAGGACGGCTACGAAATGTACCCAGACGTATAACGCACGTGCAGATTCTATTGTACTGCTAATTAAACCTATTGTTTGGTGATGTTCGCGTTGGCGTTTCTGATTTTCTTAACTGAACTCCCTATTTACTGCCGGTCAACTTACCGAATAGAGTGATTGTATTCATCTAAATACCACAGAAGACCCTGTAAAGCCACTCCAATTACTGCTCTTCAACTTAAGATAGAAACCATCTACAGGCTAGGGCGCATATCCAAAGTCTCCCGAGACTGAAGGAGCCTACAACTGTCATGTTTTACAAACTACCGTGTGGCATGAAATTTTTACGGGATCGATAATTTTCGCGTATTTCACGGGTTTTACAATGATCCGCGAAAATTAGATCCCGTAAAAATATTACTCCATTTATTTAGATAAACCTTTACAATATT